TATATATATATATGGCAATGCTGTCATTGCATTTCGCCTTTAGTTGAGACAGTAAAAGCTTTCCTCTGAAGGTCTGGTCTTCTTCTCTGTGCGCCAGGAGTGGTTGGCCTGGCGTCATGGCTGCGGTTCTGTTCGTTCAAACACAGGGTAAGAAGCATATCAAGGTGAAACCTAAATGAGATCATATCATGGAGAAACAGATGAGGCGTACGCCGTAATGTCGCGAAAGTGTACTCCGATGAATCGACAATTTTCCCCCAAGATTCCTTGGGTGCTCGGATTTTCTAGGGTTAGTAGTTGGCAGCTATATGCATGTGATCATACCTCGAATCAGGCATAGTTCGATCCAACCGAGTTGCTTGATGGCGGTGATTTCGCAGTCGAATACACCTGAGCTGTCGTGAAGTCCCTCGAGTAGCGATACAAACCAAACGTAGATACACGGAAACCTCGGATACCTGTCCCGATGAAATGGACAAACAGGTATTGCGTGCTCCCCAGTGCTTGGGATGGTTGGGTCTATGGTTGCGTCAATCGATTGGTCTGCCTGTCCCAGCAAGTCATGGGAACTTGAAACCTTTTGAAGAGTTCCGACCCCACAACTAACTAAGGCTAGTGAAAATTGCAGACAACGCTTCCCACATGTCTGCACCGGGTCATGATACTTTCAACTGTTGACTTTGCTACATCGTCTGCTACCGTAAGCTAACCAAATGTTGCAAAGATTTATGAAGTCGAACGTATCGACTCAGTCTACTAGCGAAATATGGTTCATCGGGTTTCCAAACATCCAGCTTCAGTTCGACTAGTCGTTCGGAGGATGAGGGAGTAGGTCTGTCAAATATAGATGCGCGGAGAGCTCAATGGTCCATTGCACGATAACGGTTCCTTGCCTTTCAATTACACGCACTCAAACGGGAAAATTAAGTGAGACATGAGGACGAGCGTGTAGTAAACACGACTAGAATGATCTACTGAAGCGCATGTTAAGTTCGCTTTGCTTTTTGGGGGTAAACGTTATCGGGCTTGACAGACCCTAAGTGCAGCGGTCACGTGAAGCCGGACGTCGCCTAAAATCCCCACATGAAGTTCGACCCAAAGCTAAATGTTGTTGAGGGGTGTTACGGGTGAGTGTTCAGGAAGGAGTTTTACCGATGACGGAAGCTGTATGCTCGGGATAGTTAAACTCACTTTAAAACCACTTTCGAGAATAGAGAAAAACCATGTACTTAATTCAAGTAGTCCTGAACGGGAGAGCTCATTTCACTTTGGTTTGATAACCGTCAACCAACCGTGCGCGTATGTCGGGCGGATGGGATCTCCTTCGCTTATACTAGAGAGTGGTGTACAAATACACTTTTAAAAAACAGAGGAATGAAAAACGACACAGGCCAATGACTAGGAAAAAGGAAACAGATACAACACTGCTACTGATTGCGTGACATCACTATGGGCGTGAGTACCTCCAACCATTGATGTGATGGGCCAGTGGTGCCCACGCCTCGCAGACAACATGCACCGTCTCCAGGCCACGCGCTGTCCACTTTGCGATACCCTCAAGTGAGGGTCCAACACCTGGTTTACGACAGCTCCCGTGGACGCGTGAAGATCTACCGGAAACTTTCGCCTGTGTTCACCACATCAGAGGGTGTCATGCAAGGTAGTCCTCTTTTACCTTTCTTCTTCGACTACGAATATGCGAGGCTCACAGCCAGCCTCTAGTGCCTGTGGGGTCGAAGTGCTCCCGGAGCATTCGCTCACAGACATCGAGGACGAAGTAGCTCTTCTTGAATCCGACACAATCGTAATGCGAACAATATTAAGTAATCTAAGTAATTCTGCCTCATGGTTTGGTATGCGCTTCATATTCGCAAAGTGTGGAGTGCTACCGTAGGACTTGGTGGGCCCGAATCCTAACATGCTTAAAGGGGAGCCTATTGAGGTAGCAGACAAATTTGTCCACATGAGCAGCTGTATCTCTACTCGTGGTCTCAAGATGGATGATATTTCCACCCGGATTGAAAAGGCCAGAGCAGCTTTCGTGTGACGTGGGCATGACATCATCCGTCAAGGGTCGACTTTAAAATGCTGCGGGTTACGAACCTAACGCTGCGCGCTGAGGGCGTCCAGAGACTTTCAATGTTTGATGGTCGATATCGTCGAACCGTTTCCCGAAACGGATGGGAACACCAGACCAGTGATACTGAAATACGTCGAATGGTATTCGGAAGAAATAACTCATCCACGATAAATTAACTGATCACACTCCATAGGTCGCGCTGGTTCGGCCACGTGCTCCGTATGCCAGTCGACCGAATTCGAAGTAGGGCTCTTTTCGAACAACTATGCGAAGGGTGGAAACGAGCCAGGGGTGGTCAAACAATGACTTGGCAGCGAAATATAGAAGCAATTACCAGCAAACTCGGCTGCGTTCGTCGTTACCGTCTTCCTGGATGGGGCACCCAAGACAGGACACATCGGTGGTTGGAGACATTGTCGGACAGTCCATTTGCACCCTTAATGGTGCTCGTACATTCACACCATTGCCTTCAATGCATAGCTCCATTCCCTATCCATCCACTTAAAAGTCCCCTGTCAGAACTGTATTTACGCACCAATTTATCAGCTCCCACCTCCAATGCGCAGCTACCTACCCCACATTCCCAAATAATCGATCAACGAAGTTGTGGCAGCTAAGACCATCGTACGGCGAATACGCAGTTTCCACAGCTGACGATGATCTGGCTTACGGAGCAAGGTACTAGCCAGCATAACTATTGCAACTGAATCGGCCAACTAACTCGCTTTTTGCTAAAAACCATTCGTCGCACTTCAGTATTGCTGATTTGATGTGCAATCGGTAGAAATCACCTAAGATAAGGGATAAACAGTCTTCTCTGGTCTTCAACGAAGAGTGACCAGGGGTCAAGACCGTAAAGCAATACTAGACGCACCACCGTCTTCTATACCATGCCTTTCATCGACATAATAACGTCATGTCGAGTTGGAGGATAAAAGAACGGACAGTAGCGCTCCCAGTAGCAAAAATCGTTCGGCTGTAGCACCCCTTCGGTGCCTAACTGACATGCCACCAGAAGGTGGCACGAGTAGGATACTGTCAGGTTGTCCAAGCCTAAACAGGGGAAGTCGAGATGCAGAGGTCGGGTTCGAACACGGGCCTTCCGGTCAGTAAATTTGCGCTCTAACCATCCAATGTGAGGTCAATATTGATATAAGTATCCGGATGGTGAACTCAGGAGAACCGTATCCATAGGCTTTCATGCGTCCACGGGTGTTCGAATATGAAGATTGGAGAAGTGTGACGAAAGTGTTCGCTACACCTATGGAGGAAGAATATCGCCAAAAGGTACCGCGATCGACTAAGTCAAATGTGGCTCTAACGTCTAAGAACACAACAACTGTTGGTACTTCATATGTCCTGCAAGAATTTCGTCAGATTTTGGACGATTGCTTCTCCTCCATCCGTAATCAAGACAGGAAGAGGACAACCAGGTTAAGGTACTTTGTTTCAACCCAAAATTTTGGTTCGCTTTTTCTCTATCTTCTGTTGGGAACGAAGAAACTTTTAGGTGGAAAAGAGTCTGACTATTTATCGATCGTTCCTTAGCCATCACTTATCTCGGTCAGTCTTGAGACTGTCGGTCAGGTGTGGTTTCACAGAACCAAGACAAGCTGCTATTTTTCAACAAAACCAAAAAACATACACTTACCATATACATCTCCACCAACGACGGGGGTGGCTGAATAATTTCCAATTTCTGCATCACCATCGGACTGACCTTCCGCAGTTTGTTTTCCAGACAAGCTTCAACATATTCTTTAGAGTACTTGCCAGCAAATTGCTCTCGAATCACGGGTAACTCATTCACTTGTGAGGAAAGCCGTGGACAAGACCAAATGATAGAAGCGATGGCCTCCTCAAGACAAGGATCGACTTCTCTATAGCAATTGTGAAATGGGACCGAAAATTATGGAAAATTACTTGGAAACCTCGAAAATACCAAATCGTGCTAAAAGGAGTTCGCAGTAGGTTTGCAGAATCTCCAGCGCCTCCACAACATAGTCTTCTCGAACGATATGTTCAGTTTTAATGCGGGATCGCTCGATTTTGTTTTGTTTCAACAGTTCGGCCACCTCACGGCGTGCTTTCATCCCCATCTCAGTCTTCTTTTTTTGCAACAGACCCATACGATTCACACAAAGCCGCAGATTGGATTTTAGTTTAGTATAGTCACAGGTTTTGGCAAACAGAGGCATTCTGGTAATGAGGCTAAAGGGGAGGAAGAGAGAGACCAAGTTATTCGGCTTAGACAGTGCCATTCTTTTATCTAATAAAACTTACCTAAAAGCCTGTGGGCATCGAATATTTTTCAGTTCTCTTTCGAACGTGATCTGCACGTAGGTTGCCTTAGCTGGAATAATGAAACCCAATCACAAAGATATTGCTTAACAACTGCCCTTCAGTGACAGCAAGTAGATCAGGCTTATGTTCCTGGGTAACCACAGCAGCCACATTAGACTTAGTTCCCACAATATTGGGGTGAAAAATACTCCCAGGTCAACTGAAGTTGCCGAGTGGTCAAACAGAAGAAGTGGGTTCAAGAGAGCTGTGAGTAAGGCGCCAGCTTACGGACCGGATGTCCGTGATTCGAACCCAACCTCAGCATCTCAACTCCTCGTATCTGAGCTTGGGCAGCCAGACAACTAGGCATCGAAAGGGTGCTACAGCTGAACGATAACTGGAGGAAGTCCGCTTCGGTTTCGGTTCAAGAATAAGGATAGTACACTTGTGCGCGGTCATCGAAGCTACCATGCAGTGCAAACTGCAAGGAGACATAAATTCAATCAATTAATTCAATTTATCAGCTATAAACCGTGTGCCATAGGCACGTTGGTTCCAGCTGCTACAGTTTTGCTCAGCGGAAAACAGGAAATCGGAACATACAATCAAGCCTTCGAGGCAAAGGCATGTTCAGTTTGTTCAGAAATTGGATAGCTATGTAATGAGAGCGATGGCTGTGATGCGCGAGCGCCACTGACGGTGCGATTGGGCCACTTCCGCTGTCATTAACCACTGGTGATTTGGGTCCCTGGGTCCTCATCCGGGGAGGGGGCAGTTGCCCACCCGACTAAGCTCACTGGGCGAGATGTCCCAAGTGGTTAGAGCGCCAATTTACTGACCGGAAGGTTCGTGGTTCGAATCCTACCTTCGCCACTCGACTTCCCCTGTCTAGGCTTGGCAACCTGGCAGTATCCCAGCCCTCGTGCTTCCTTTGGGTGGCATGGCAGCTAGGCACCGAAAGGATGCTACAGCTGAACGCTTTTAAGCTCACTGATGTTTAGGTTTCCGATACGGAAATTTGAGCGACGCGCAGGTTCTAAAATCCCTTGCCGCCGCATACAGCCAAGTAAGTCAGACTATTGAGCCACTGGCTCCGGGCAGGGTTCCCGAAGAAAACCCCAACAAACGCTGTCTCGAGGTCCAGCCAGAGCCATGAATTTGGGTATTGAAATCACATCTGGAGAGAGATTCATGAACTCCGATTATGCGGACTAAATTGTTCGCATGCGCATAGTAGCTTAGATAAAATATCCGAGGTTGGTCCATGTTTCAACATGCGTGTCTCACCTTCGAATTGCGAGGTCTTAATCGAAGACTTTCCGTATTCTCGTACTTCGCTGAAACATCACTACGAAGAGCTTCGGTATTCTGTATGGGTCCACGCAGTTTGGCAGCTACATAAGCCGTGATTGTACTGTAACAGATGGAGAGAGCAACATTCGCAAACTTGTACCGCTTGTGGCATCCGAACCGAGCTTCCCTGAAGCTACAAGGCCGTGTATACAAAGCAATTGTAAAATAGTTGTGTACGGATGCTTTTGGAGAGCTCGCTGTACACTGTCACACGTTCGGAAGTCTGATAATACAAACAGCTTATGTTCCCGAACTTCCGGGGCATTTCTCGGTAGGCAAGCGTGTCAAGAAGAACAGACCGACCAACCGGGTCAGACGCGCCATGGAAATCTAAGAGTACTAGAATTGTGGGTCGCTCATACGTATGACGTTGTTCAAGCACCTGATGAAGTGTGAAGATTTGGCCAACACAGCCCCTACCAGGCCGGGATCCCGCTTGCTGCTCTTGAGTCAGTGTTTCACGAGCCACCATAAGGCGACGAAGTACAAGTGACGTTTACACTCTTGTTACGAAAGGAGGTAAGCTAGTCCCTCCGTGGTTATCACACTAAGGGCCCTTTTTTGAAAATGGGCACCATCACCGACTGTCCCAGTTGTCTGCGACCGACTCCTCTTCCAAAAGGCAAGCAAACAGATCAGACAAGCGGTGACCCCATCTTTGAACAACGCGGGTGGGAGGTCAACCGCACGAGGCGCGTGAGAGTCATAAACCTCCGAGACGGTAGGCGGTTCCACGTTCACCGTCCGGGATCCTACATCCGGGGGCGAGGCAGATCAGTGGTTAGAGTGCAAATCTACTGACCGGAAGGCCCGTGGTTTGAATCCGGCCAGTGCATCTCGACATTCCCTGTCTAGGCTTGGGCAACCTGGCAGTTCCCTAGCCTTCGTGCTTCCTTCGGGTGGCATGAAAACTAGGCACAGAAAGGGGTTGGTAATGTGTTGGAAACTGACCGGACCGTGGTTTGAATCCGGCCAGTGCATCTCGACTTTCCCTGCCTAGGCTTGGGCAACCTGGCAGTTCCCTAGCCTTCGTGCGTGCTTCGGGTGGCATGAAAACTAGGCACAGAAAGGGGTTGGTAATGTGTTGGAATATTGGTAGTTCGGGTGTATTGGTTGGTAATTGATCAGGTGGCTGTTGATCTGTTCGCCGAGCTTGGCAATTGGTTTGCAAACGTTTCGTCACCATTCGAGGAGGCATCTTCAGTGCGCTGTTGGTTGGGTAGTTCCTCTCTTCGTGCCTACGTTTATATAGTCTACAAAGAGCAGTCTTTGCGCTGTAACCTGGATTCTGATTGGCCCGTTCTTCATCTGTATTGCGTCGTGGTCGGCTTCTCTGTTGGCTTGTGGAGTGCCTCCTATTTTTAGTAGCCTGCTGTTCTATTGATTTCTTCTTTGAGTCCTTGTTCGGCCTCGGGTTCTGGGTTTCCTTTGTCCTCAGAAGCTGGTAGGCAGGATCAATCTCAATGTGCCTGTTTATTGCTCCACCAGTGGAGTACCACGCCTCCATGAACTCGCGTTCCTTGTTCTTGCCTGGCCCAGTATTCCGAAGTTATTCCAATCGAAATGGTGTCCTTCCCCATCTTCGTGTGCAGAGATGAGAGAGAGAGAGTTGGTCATGTCTCTTGGTGGCGAGCTTGTGTTCGGTGATTCTGGTTGACAGTTTCCTCCCTGTTTGTCCAACGTAGTGTTTTTCACAATCGTTGCATTGAATTTTGTAGATTACATTTGTCTTTTCCATCGCATTAAGTGTCCCCTTTGGGGGACCTCCAAAGGAAGGACCTCCAAAAGATCACAGCCGAAGAATATTGGCGAATGAGAGCCAGAGAATCCAATACCCCAAGCTTCTATGGACTCCCGAAAGTGCACAAGGAGACCACACCACTAAGGCCAATTGTGTCACTCCCAGGCACACCAACCTACAACCTTGCAAAGGAACTATGGAGAAAGGTCAAGTATCTCATCAATGAATCGCAACACTCAATCAAAAAAACGCACAACAGTTCTTGGATAAACTAAAGAATGTGACAATAGAAGAAGACGAAACAATGGTCTCATTTGATGTCAGCTCACTGTTCACATCAGTGGACCTTCACTCCGCAAAGACAACAGTCGCTGAACTACTGGACAGTCATGGACCTCCCGGTGGACCTCTAAGGAAGGAAGACATATGTGAATTGCTCAGCCTCTGTTTGACCACGTACTTCGAATTCAACGGTGAATACTACGAACAATTGAAAGGAGCACCAATGGGTTCACCAATTTCAGGGTTCATCGCCGAGATCGCAATGCAAAAACTGGAGAGGACCGTGTTGCCGGACATCAACCCGAAGCTTTGGGTACGTTATGTAGATGACACTTTTGTCATCATCAAGAAGAGAGAACTACAACGAGCAATCCAATTGATAAACAGTGTCTCCGATGACATCAAGTTCACGATGGAAGAAGAAAACAACAACAAACTGGCGGTTTTAGATGTTCTCGTCACAAGGTTGCCGAACGGACAAATGCAAACGGAAGTCTACAGGAAAGCTACG